AAACAGGTTGTTTGGAAATGTCCCATGAGGTAACTCCTCCCATGGGGCATTTTTCAAATGTGGGCATATCAGGAAAGAAACACCCCCTCCCCTGCCATCCTTAGCCATTTTGTAATGTTAAGGTATGCTCAAACCCCACTGAAATTCTAAAGGAATCCAAAAGGCCTGAGAAAGAGGCAGAAATATATATAATCTTATTTCACAGAGGAATAAAACTTTTGAGAAATGGAGGTGAGATTTTGGCAGGGCAATAACAAATATGCAATACAGGTTCTTCCTTGACTAATGATGATCACCACAAAGAATTTCAAATTTTAATACCCCAAATATATTGCAAAAGTACAATTCCACCTGAGCTGGATATGCCACTTTTTGAAAATTTTAAACTTTTTGTACAGCTAGTGGACTGATACCAGATAGGGTGTGCATCCTGAAATCCAGAGTATCATTACAGCATCATTTTGCATTTGTCTTTTTAAAAAAAAATCCTCATGTGAAGTCATCAGTATTTTAATGCCAATTTCTCTTAATATACACATTGGTATGCATTTTCCCTAAATATACACACATTTGCAAAGTAATTCCCCTAATATATTGCAGTTTCATTATTTTCACTTATATGGTATATGCATATTTTTTTTGCAAATTTCACCCCAGTATTTGCATTTTTGTGCACATGTCCTAAGTGAAGAACTGCACTGTAGAATTCAGAACATTTTGATGGCTGGTTGTATTTCCATTCTCAGATTATTTTAGACACTGTAAATTTGATAGGTTTACCTTTAAATGTGAACTGACTCAGATTTCCCCCCATTCCTATAACTCTGTTTATCTGTATTCCAGCTTAAACACTGGGCCAGAAGGGGCAGATCAAGTAAGTCCTGTACGAAAAGCAGAGCAAGCAAAATAATCTCTTTCCCTATTATACATACCCATTTATTATTATGAAGGAAGAACTACTTTAAATGTTTCCACTCCAACATCAAGAAGAGTACATAGAGTATGTGTTTATTTACAGCTTAAAAACAGGCCAATTGCCTGGCCACCTGCTGGAGCCAATCCAGCACTCCCGCTGGTGTGTTTACACCATGCTGCCTTGCTGCCATCTTGCACCTCTCCCTCCCAATAAGCCAAGGTGGTACCAGGGATAGGTCAGGTAAGTGCCACCACCCTTCCCCATTGACCTCTACTTGCTATGACTGAGACTCTGGAGAGCCACAGCTGGCTAGACAAATTACAGGTGCAGTTTCTTCTTAGGCAGCGAGGATATATCACAACTTTGTGGATGAATCACTCTATTGCCAGTTCTTGGCAGTTTTCACATGTCTTTGTTCCATCCAATTATTTAATTAATTAATTAATTAATTAACTGACCATCTGAAGATCTCAGGGTTGTTCACAGGATAAGTCTTAAATTTAGCATTTAAATATGCATTCAGATAGGTATTTTAATCCCATAATATATATTTAAATATGCATTTTTTTCACAATGTACACATTTTTAGCATTATTTGCTCCTAAAATGCGTATGTCAATTTATTCTGATATGTGTGTTTTTCCCCGGCCAAGAAATGAATTGCAAAATTCAGAGAAGCGCAAAATCTGAAGGATTATGTTTCAGTCTGTGTACTGGTCTCATCTCATAGATATCCCAGAATCATAAATTTGGAAGGGATCCTGAGGATCAACTAGCCCAACCCCAAGTTCAGGAGGTGTGAATTTGGTTGGTTCACTTAAAAATGCTGCATAAAATTCTTCTCCATCCCCAACCTTACAGGTCCAACTTGTGTATCATCATCATCATCATCATCATCATAAAAGGCTGTAACGTGGTGAGAGGGCATCTACTTTGCACACAGAAGTTCCCCAGCACCTGCAGACAGGGCTGAGACAGCTTCCTATGTGATAATCACAATCATTGATGTACCAGTCTCAAATGATGCTGCTGGAAGGCTTGGAGGCAGTGTGATCAGCTCAGTCCATCAACCAATGTCCTTTCATCTGTGATTGGACTCCAGCTCCCATATTTCCAGCAAGCATGGTCGATGGTCGGGGTGACCGGGGGGGCTGCATGTTCAGCAAACCTGAAGTACATGTTGCTAAAGGTAATGCTTGACCCGGCTCTCAGAGAGGAGGAGGAGGAGGAGGAGGAGGACTCCAACCAAGCAAGGACCACTAGTATCACCAGCTATTCTGGGAGGCCTGGTAGTTCTGTCTAATGGGTGCTCCTTTAGAGGAGTTGCCAGCACTAAGCAGCGAGAAACAGAGAGCAAAGGAATAAAACATTCTTTTTATCACCACTCTTGACAGGCATTATATTGTGCTACAGTGTCATTTGTTTAGTTACTGCTACAGCAATTGCTTCGCAGAAATCTTGTAAGTGGCCATATGGCACCCTTGAATGAAAGCCATGGTGCTTTTCGTGAGAATCCCACACTGTCTCTGCTCAGGAGAAAGGGCCTCCAATTTTCACTCAGTGCCAGTTGCTTTGATTTGAAAGGAGAGCAGGGAATCCTTCCCTGACTGCAACTGAGGAATGAATCTGGCTTCTCCTCTCTCTCCTGATAAAAGTGTTTATATTGACTTAATGCCAGCGGAGTTAACTCAAGAGACCATTTCTTGAGCTAGAGGACATAGAGGTGTCTGGGGATTTTTTTGGGGGGGCTGCCTAGAGGAGAGGAAGATTCACAGGAAATATGTCTTTTAACATCTTTCCACATTGATGATATTGAGGTCACCCAAGGCTTTGCAGTCGGTCGCTGTCACCAATATACTGATGGCACCCAGCTCCATCCTTCCACGTCCCCACCTGAATGCAAAATCAGCCTTCATAAACCTGATGTTTGGGGCAGCAACTCCCATTAGCGCCAGCCAACACGATCAATAGTCTCTCCCACAGAAAGAACACTGCTTGGGTTTTTATTTCACATTTATATCCCACTTTCCCAGGAGCTCAAAAGACATGGTCCCCTCCCTCACCACTGTTTCCTCATGACCATCCTGTGAGGAAGGTCAGGCTAAGAGACAGTGAATTCCTCACGGTCACCCGCTCTGCTTTGTGGCAGAATGTGGACTTGAATCCTGGTCTCCCAGGTCCTTGTTGAACACTTTAACCTTTGCGACACAATGACTCTGCACAACATCTTCATTTGGCCAGCAAATGAAAATCAGTCAGGATGAAGGTAAAGGGGGCCCCTGACCATTAGGTCCAGTCATGGCCGACTCTGGGGTCGCAGCGCTCATCTCGCTTTATTGGCCGAGGGAGCCGGTGTACAGCTTCCGGGTCATGTGGCCAGCACGACTAAGCCACTTCTGGCGAACCAGAGCAGCACACACAAATGCCGTTTACCTTCCCGCCAGAGCGGTACCTATTTATCTACTTGCACTTTGACGAGCTTTCGAACTGCTAGGTTGGCAGGAGCAGGGACCGAGCAACGAGAGCTCACCCCGTCATGGGGATTCGAACCGCCGACCTTCTGATTGGCAAGTCCTAGGCTCTGTGGTTTAACCCACAGCACCACCTGCGTCCCATCAGTCAGGATACTCATAGCCAGAACATAGGGACATAGGAAACTTCCTTAAACTGAGTCAGACCATTGGTCCATCTAGCTCAACACTGTCTACGCTGATGGGCAGTAGCTCTTCACGATTTCAAGGGTGGGTCTCCCAGCCTTACGAAATGCTGGGGGTTGAAATTCATACATTCTGCATGCCCAGCAGGTGCTCTGCCCCTGAGCTATGGCCCTTCCTACTAAATTAAGTGATGAGTGAAGCTCAGGACTTACACAAATCTTTTTTAAAAACCTGATTACTATTTCCCACCACTTCCTTTGCTTTGTGTGTCTTTGTAAGCCTGGGGGCAGTGACACACTCCCTCCCTCGCCCCCTCACACCCTGAATAAACCAATAAACAAACAAACAAATGCTACAAAAAATAGAAAACCCTGCTTTTCAAATGTAATGGCTGTGACCTCTGAGCTGACTACCCTTGCTCATTCTAAACATGGCAGGAAAGCTGTCCATATAGAAAAGAAATTCTGTTTTACACAGGAACACACCTTTGTCCTTTTAAGGGAATGTTTCAACTTCATTCAATGAACTCCTTGCTGTTCCTCACCCATACACCTCACTCCCCAAATAAAACTTACAGGGAGGCTTGTATTTAGAACTCATTCTGTGCAATCTCATTTTACAGCTTCGGTTTAACAGGCACTTCCCTCCTAAATTCCAGCCTCTCTCTTTCTCTCTCTCTCTCATTTTTGAAGCACGATTTGCAGTTTTACTGCTGACATTCTCGGCTCGCCACTCCAGCCGGTCCATGCAGCAGAAACACTGAAAGGATCACGCAAAATATAATTGCCCTAATGCTTTGCATATTTATGTTGGAAACCTTTTTATGAAGTGTTACTTTGGAGGGGGGAGGGGAGGAGGGGAGAAAAGAAAGATCGGTTCATCTTTTAAAAGGAGTGATTGATTGCTGCCACTCAGCCGTTTCTTCATTCTTGGCTTCCCCCCTTAGCCTCTGTAATAAGTTTTTCATGAACACCAGGCTGCTATTAAAGAACGGTATTCATCACAAGCCAAGCAAAGAGCAAGCAGACTTTGATGGGCACAATACCATATTTCAATGCACAGTGTCCTTTCTGTTAAAGTTGATCGGCTACCTCATTACCAAGTAAAGGAAAAACACACAAAGCCTTTTGTAAACATTAACCATACATGTGCAGCAATGCACACACACACACCATGCAACCCACTCATCTATATACTCGAATTACTTACAGCAAAACACTCCTGTTGAAAATGCACATGTATAACTTCAAAATCCTGCGCATTTGAAACTTCAAGAGAGAAATGCTTAGGTGACCCTCCGGTAGGAGTTCTATCAGTGGAGTGCTTTTGTGAAGATGTTTTTCTTCTTTTTCTACCTTCACTGAAGAGCGAAAGGTGAAGCCCCGCGGGGCACTGTTTTTATTTTATTTTATTTTATATTCTTTATTGCAAAATTTAAAAAGTACAAAATTACAAGTGCACAGAATAAGATAAGACACAAAAAAAAGAAGAAACAAGAAATAGCACCCATGTAGAAAGCAAAACAGAGCGACAAAAATAAAAAGATATTGTGTACATTACAAAAGTTAACCAGACCCACAGGACACTGTGAATTGAAGTACCCAGGGCCAAACAAGACATAATGTAAATTTGTGACTGGAATCCACATGCATTTTTTTCCTGGTTCTGTAGTTAGCAGCCTCGGGGAAGCCTGAAGCAACCTTGGGATCAACCTGGATGATACATTTAGCATCATGTGCTCTATTCAATGAAGCCATTGCACAAACAGGGTATTGCACCTCTCTCTCTGTTCACCCTGCACACCCTTGCAACACCCAATCTGCTTTTTTTGGGGGGGTGAGGGGGGCGCGTTTCATTTACAAGAGCAGAAGTCATACCATTTGTACGATGGATGCAACCCTTTCTCTCCCTGCTGCAAAAATACCAAGAAAAGAAAAATCTCTCTGGAGCTGCTACTTGCATTTCAAGGCAAGCCTTCTTTGGCACTAATGGGAGCTTCCTATTAAAGGCAAAAAGCAGCTTCAGAGATGTGATTTTTCTCATGAATGTGGCAGGGAAAGAGGTGAGTCTCCATCCCTCCTGAAGCTGCTCAGGCTTCCTGGAATCTGTTTACAGAACAAAAAATAAACCCTGTACATTAACTGCATCCACACAATTAGCATCATGCTACTTCCCCACCCCCAGTATGAAACTGTTTCGGCACTGGAATTTATTTGAGGCATTGCTGATGAATGCACTAAGCTCTGTCCTCACAAACCATGACCTGCAGCCAAGAACACACCTTGGTTACAGCTCATGGACTGTCTGGAGAGAGCTGGATCATCCATCAAGTTTTGGACAACACACTAAAGTTGGTTTAGAACAGAATTTTGCAGGAGCAAAGAAGACTGGGGAGGAGCAAAGTGATTGCAAGCCCAAATGTTTGAACGGTCCTGGTAAGCCATAGTATGGCTTTCCATGTCATGCAAACCAGATATTTCTGGGCTTTTGAGAGGCACAGGAGCTTCCACTGGTATGACGCAGTAGGTATGTACAATATGAGTGTAGCGTTTTGTGAATTTTGCCCTAAATTATTCATTTTGATTTTTTAGTCTACATAGACGTATTCACAAAACAGGGTCTTCTTCAGCTTCTGTTAACTTTTTGAAAATAATTGCCCAGGAACTGTACTTGATCTGCTCATTTTCCTGCTAGGCCAAAAACCATGCTATAGGCCACAAACCAGCTGGCCCAAGTATAAACAGATAGAGAGATAAAGTTATAATGCAGGTTCTTGCACAGACATAATAAAAAGCAGAATAGTTCTCCAGGAGTCATACCAAACTCAATGCCCAACATTTAGAGGAGCACAAAAACACATGCAACTCGTTTTAATTTTATTTCCGTTTAATATTCCGTGTTTTCCCTACACTTACAAAGTCAAAGAAAACAATTCTAATTGAATCCTGAAGCAATAGCAACTTTCTGTCCAGAGGCATTACTCTCACAAAGCATAATCTTGTTTCATTCCTGTAATTGTGTCTTACTGGGTGCCAATAAAGGGGTTGAGGAGAGATGAAGTATTATGTGGAAAATCCATTTGCAAAACTATTTGGGAGTTAGTGTGTCAAAGGCTTATAAATGTTGGGGTTACAGTGTTGCTTCCAGGGGCACCTCTTCTGCATCACGAAAAACAGAAAACATAAGAAGAGCCTTGCTGCATCAGGCCAGTTGCCCATCTAGCATTTTTGCTGGCCAGGTTTAATTCAAAACCATCAAACCTCCTTTGGGGAAGGTTCTCAGGCAGGGTGGAAGGAGAAAGAACTTGCCCATGTGAAGACCACCTGGTGGAAACCCTTATACATATGGTTCTCAATTGTAAACTATATTCTGATCTCCGCCAACAATTTCTAGATCAACTCTGTATCCCCAAATGGAAACCAGAGTCAGAGGTCATACATTTTCTATTACTGGGGAATGATCAGGAGCTCACCAAGTTAGTGGCTAAATATCTGTTTTTGGTTTTTTGTTGTCAAAATACACTGCAGACATCTGATCTCCCTGGAGACCAAGAGATGTGACGATAGACTGCTCTGCCTCCTTTCTTTTAGCAAATGTTTTGTGCCGCTAGGGAAGTGGTAATTCTGTATTGTTCTGTTTTGGATGTTGTATGTGATGCCAATAAAAGGGTTGATGATGATGAATTGCCCATCTAGTCCAGCATCCTGCTCTCACAATGACCTCCCTGACATGCACACTTTTTTGTGAATTCATATCCTCTTTTCCCCCCAGCCACCCTAAACTCTTTAGCTGCTATCCTGTACAAGCCTGGGATGTGGACAACACTACTTCTATTCATTAGTGGATTTCGTAGGATTCCGATTTGCAACTAGACTGTGGGATCCCGAATATCATGCCTGGACTACCTCAGGCAGACAAAGGAGGTTGTAAATCGGAAGAGTTTGGGAGTCCCATCTGACTCCTATAACAGCTTCCAGGTCATTGGTGCAACAAGATTCTTGAGAGTCTCAGAGCAGGCAATGTGCTTTCCTTTTGGCTACCAGGAACAAGGAGACACCAGCAGGGCCTTTCTTGTTTTCAAAGGAGCTCTCCACCACCTCCTACATCAGCCTTGTGCAAGCTTCTGCCCTCAAGATGTCTTGGACTAGAACTCCCTTTGGCTGATGAAAAACAGCCAAAACAGCCCCCCTGATCTCTTAGCTGAATCCTGGGATCCTAGGGAATTAAAAAAGGAATCCACTAATCCTCAGTGAGGCCCTTTCCTCCCTTCTGCCTTGGTTTCTTGCCTGGCATCAATGATCCTCATTCTGTAATGCTTTGAGGCTTTCGTCTCTCCTGGAGGGAAGTTATCAGCCCAGTGTGTAACAACAAAGCCAAAGTTTTCTTTCCGACGAGTGCATGCACTATGACATAAAAAACAGTGATTATGTCAGAGCAGGAAATTACCATTTAGATTGGCCCTAAATAGCTGGCGTTTCCTGCTGAAAGCAGGAAGGTGGCAGATCTGGTTTTAATATACTGTTTGAGAATTTGGGGTTTTTTATTGTCATCCTCAGTTATCCAAGGGATTTCTGCTTCTTGAAATGATTCCATCCAGTTAATCAAAGTTTTCCTTATGCACAGAGCTTCCTCCCAGAAATCTTATCCCTAATCGCACCGTACATCCTTTAAACCTCTTCTCAAAGCTTCCTTTTTCCATGACATTCTCCTCTATTTTTAGTCTAGTCTCCTCTTTCTCACATTTTTAGCAAAGTCCCCTTGTGTGTTTTACCGTCTCAATGAGTTCATTTTAGAGTGCATGGAAAACAGGAGGAATGGCTCATTCGGGTGTGCATGCTGCTTCAGCTCTTATCACTTGGTTACCCAGCAGTTGTGAATGACATGGACACACATTGGGGCTAGTCAGGATCCTGCCTTCTCTGTCCACCCTAAGTCCCTGCTCCTGGGGCATCCTGACATCCATATGTTGGAATCATGGTTGAATAGGGTCCTATGTGTGCAAAACCCAATGCACATAACTATTACCACTGCCCCTTTGGAACTGGGGAGATAATTTGCAGGCCTGGAGGGTGAAGGAGCCTGCTGGGGGATGGGAAGGTTGCACAAAATGGCTACCATTTTGCTTTGGGGCTCAATTTGAAGTGTTGGGTTTTGACCTATAAAATCTTACGCAGCTGTGGAACCCGCACTTCTTATTTGTATACATGAGCTCTTAAAGAATTTATTGCTTGTTTTAATTGGGTTTTAGTGTTTGCAATGTATTTGTACGTTGCTTTGAGCCAATTTTAATAACGCATTGCACAAAAGTAGAGAATGTCTGCCCAAGGCTTCGAAATTACTCCGTTGAAAAATTATATGACAGCACACATTGTATGCATGTACAGTGAACATGAGAAGAGAGGGAGGGAAGAGTATTGCACCCTTTCATGTTTGATGGCCATTTCCCTACCTGTCCATACCTTCAGCATACCATGTGAGTCTCTGCCATGTGCAAATGGGATGCCCACCAATCCCTGCCAATACAGTCATGAATCCTGCCAAAAACAGGGTCTTTTTGTACAGTTTATACATGCACAGGAATGTTTGCAAATGATGCAACACATCTGCAGTTTGGGGGGCAGGGGGCTCCTCCCCCCCCTGTGTGCAACCCCTTTGTGCACATGGAACTGCATCCCAGGACAATGGGTGATTAGCATGGATTTGTGCCCCAGCCTTAAGCGTGCAATGCTGAGCCCAACGATAGCAGCCGCTGTAGGAAAATTCTGCTATACAATAAAATGAAAGCAATGAAAAGCACCATATAATATCTTTCCTGTAATAAAAAAAAATGTCAGCAAACAATGTGCTCATCTATACTCTTCTGTTTACCTTTGCAACTAAAAGCTTCCTGCTCATAAACTGCTCTGCCAAGAGCTATATGTATGGTCGTGAAATTTCATATTAGCAACAGAGGGGGAAAAGCTGGCTTTCAAGAAATCTCTCTGATGTGGTCATTTCCCATTTCCAAATGCTGGGACTCGCCTACTCACTCCACCATAACATATGGAGAAGAAGTGACTCTGTGCTGTGAGATGAACTGCAGGGCTCCTTGGCAAACTAAGCCACCATCTTGTGTACAATGCATAACTTTATTGCCCATTGGAGTGGGACACCCTATATAGCCCTGTGTCTCCCTCTCCCTACCCATATGTGGGCAATGACATCACCCCAAGCAATGCACTCAGATACCCCAGTGAAGCCTGTTTTATAGCTGACAGGTACTGAGCAGTGCTATTTTTCCAGAAAAAGAGGTGCCGGGACTCCCCATGAATGCCTCACTTGTTCTCTTAGAATGGCAATGGCGTCCACCTAAGAGGTGCCGGAACTGAGTTCCGGCAAGTTCCATTTGAAAATAAGCTCTGGTACTAAGTAACCTTAGAAGCTTTACTACTGCCTTGATGTAAGCAAGGGGGAGAATTTCAATTTAGTTTGTATTTAAAGACAAATCATCCAATTCATGCTTTCCAAAACAATACTAGAACCAAAATTCGCATGTGTCTGAATGCTGCGATGCAGTTCACCAGCCAATGTTTACCAAAAATGTGTATATTGGGGGAAGTGTGCATAAAAACTAGTGTATTGGTGAAAATAACATACAACAATGCATTACAACATTACAGCCAGTGGCTTGGGAAAAATGTGTTTAGTAGGAGAAATTCGAACTAAAACGCTGATTAATTTTCATGAGGATTAAAAAAGAAATTTGCACATGAAATGTGGAGAACTGAATCTGTGCAGTGCTAAAATTTAGCACCCCTGCCTCTCACACTCTGTTCCACATCATAGTTGCAGTGCCCCCTACAGCACTGGTGCCCAGTGTGGCTGAACAAGTCAGGCTTACCCTAAAACCACCACTGAGATGGAACATGAAGATGCAATATTAACTGCCCCATGACAAAGTGCAACAGAGAATGCCGACTTGACGTTTGGGGAATATAACAATATATTTTTGAGTGCAAGAATATGCCAAATTTCTATCCAGGAAAAGAACTGGAATCAAACATTTGGGAAACAGCCTGGTTTTTAAAAAGGCCATATAGTGACATTTTTACAATAGCAAATGAAGCCAAGATGGGAGTATTCTAATTTTCATATTTTTCTTTCACATCCCCCAAGTGTTCCACTACTTGACGGCACAGCAAAACAGACCCTTGAGCTGGCATGACTCAGCAGAATTCCAGCTTGCATCAATGAGGATACGGCCAGCCCTTATGTTGCACCTTGTTATTCTCCGCACATGTAACAAAGTGTTTGGGGATTTGCGTTCCTCATAGGTAGATCACCAGCATTCTACTTCTGGGACCAAAGTTGTTTATCAGGATTTGGGGATAAAACCTGGATGGGATCCAAATTCATTACTGCAGCCTGTTTTTGCAGTTGAAACATGCTAAGCCAAAATGTTAACCAAATACGCTGAAGGAGGATTTTTACAGCTGTCCAAGGACACAGTAAGCTCTCACACTGGCTTTACAGCTGCATCCCCCAGTGTTCCCAATCCCTATTCCACAGCTACCTTGTGTTTCAGAGTAATCCCAGGGACAAAGAAACAGGCATGACAGAAACACTTTTAGACACAGGTGTGCCTGACCAGCCTAAAGCCACTACCTCCCATTGCATTCTGGGAATTTAAGAATAACAAAAGTAGAGTTATTTGGAAACTAGTGCTAAAGAGCCAGTGTAATTTCCACACCCATTCTAGGAAATATCATACTGGGAATATTATTATGTGCTCCTCCTTTCTCTTTCCTGCTTCATCCCTTAGGTCTCGTCTGTTGTTTTTTTAATGCCTGTATCTGGGGACAAATGGGTTAGCAACATGGATTGTTTAACAGTCCTTACTCAAGAGTCACTGTCAACAATTCAGGGTGCATTCAGACATGGGGATTATTTCATTTGTTTTCCTGGTTGTAATATCAAGGCTCTATCTAGTGGGAGAAGGTGCTCAGGGGCAATCATGTCAACAACCCAGGCCATCTATCTACCACAGATAAGTCAGGGATTCAACAGGAGTACCAGTCATATAACCAATAGGGCCACTTCAAAGTCCTGGTTTTGGCCTGTAAAGCTTTTTTTTTTTTGCCATTCAGAACCACAATGGATCATTCAAACTATGTATTTGTAAAAACCCAAGTCCACGGAGATGCAAAGGAACAACGAAAAGTAATTTTACGTCTGTTTTATTCTTTCACAGACAACACCATTCTCTTTTCAAAGGCTTTCTGTGAAATAAGGGGATCTAGAAACTTTTTTTTAATGCAAGTAGAACCAAACTCAAACTTTATTCTTCCCATTTCCTTCTCATTTTGTTCCCCTCCCGTGTATTTTTCTCTTTGGAATCAGGACTAATTGGTATTTGGCATACAGAATAAGACGTTTGGCCTAAGGGCTATTTACATTTATGAAAACCATTTGTTCTAGTGTGTCCCATTGTTATGAATACTCTTAATAGAATTTAGTGGAAGAGAGAAACGGAGGGGCCAGACACTGTCACCATATCTTGTGTTACAAGGTTGTCACTTATTTCAGCAAAGAAACGAATGCAGGAAAAATCACCTGAGTTGAAAAGCACAACATGTTGTCTGAAATCAGTCTTCGGACAGTTGCCATTGTCCTCAAGGGAGCACTCTCAAGCAATCCAACTTTTGCTGGATGGAAATCAGTATGCAGCAGAAGGGAGGGAGCCAGAAAGGGGGTCAGCCAAGCCAAATGACAGATGAGGGTCACTTCTCCTGGGGCTGCTTTTAACCGTTGGGACAGTGGAAGATTTGATTTCAAAAATATTGTGACTTATACAGGAAGTGGAGCCATGAGTAAGCCAGGGCCCTGCAGTGGGTATGAGGGGCATTTGACCATGAGTTTGAGTTTTGAGAAGTCTGTCCTTGGCAAGACCCATTAATTGGAGGAGGTGGGAGGAGAAAGAGGGAGTAAGAATATGGTTGGAGGCTATCCATAAAGCTCTCTCTGAGAACTATTGGAATCTATTCCTTATGGAGGAAGTGATAGATGCAAAACAAATGGCAATGGGGATGTGGTTCTGCCTCCCTCAGCCTGAAGAAACCTGGAGCAAACTGGATGCACAAATCCTGCAGCTTCACATAGTGCACTGAGGGGGATGAGTTTGACAACCTGGTTAGCTATATAATCTAAGCATTCACACGTTGTAGAAACGATGAAGTTGAATTTAGCTGCAGGTTGTGTGTGGCTTAAAAAAATGATCTGGAAACAACTAATTTCTAGATTGTACCCTCCCTTGAACCCTATGTATGTGTTTGAAAATGTGGCTGTGTACACACTAGATCTTAAACGTATGTTCTAGGTGCATTTTCTCCTAAAAGAAATTAGAATGAAGCTGGGATACCACCCCAAATTTTGTCCCTTTACACTTGCGATTTGATGGGTCAGTGGACTGCAAATGCATTTTTAGCACAGAATATGAGCACTGGGCTTCCACTAGATTCTGCTAGATTTCCAGAAAGGGCTTTTACTTAATGTGAAACCTTGAATATGATGTGAAAATGAACTGTTAGGGAAACGCTGAGCAAATGGAATGAAATGCCATGTGACTGCAGCCCTAGTTAGGTTCACATTCAAATGTGAACTGAATAGGACCTCTTCCTCACCCCAAATAGGGCTACACACACACACACACACACCTTGCACAGAAGATCAGGTTAGGTCAGCTTTTTCGTGGTCCATTGGTAAAACTAGTCCATGATCCCAGCAGCTTGAGCCTTGTAGCTACTTTGAAAGAATGCCAAAGCAGTGCTTTAACCACAAGCCAATCCCTGTGGCAGCTGAGATCTATTGTTTGCCTTTCCAGACTTTGAAAGAATTCAAAAACCTGAAATGTTTTCACAAATCAGGTTTCTATTTCTTTTATTTTCAGATCCTGTTCAGGTAATTTAATTTCACGTCACACTAACAGTTTCTGTCCAAGCTATCAAGACAATGCTTCTTTCCCCCCTCTGCTAATGAACATCAGGTGCTCAAGTCTTTTATTCCGTCTCAAATTAAGACTTGTCCTTTTGAATATTTTTTTTTTTTAAGAGTCCAAGGTCTAAGGTCTGTTTCTTTTCTCAATTTTTGTTCTCTAGCGCTGTCTGTGGTTCACTTTTATCAAGAACAATATTTGATGTGACATTCTTGGACATGCTGGGAAGGGCCTTTGAGCATACATTTCGTTTTCTGCGCCAAAAACATTTCTCAAATCTTTATTTTGTGGAAAAACACAAACAAACAAACCCACAAGGACGAAAACAACTAATTTCTTGGTTGGAAATATGCTTCTGCATATCTAAGAAAGCAAATGGATGTGGACCAAGATTTAGAAAGATGCTTGTATCCATATCCCTCAAACAAAAATGGATGTTGCCCTTGGCATTATCAAGATCAGAATGTTAGCTTTGGCGTGGCTATAGAACACTGACTATCTAGACAGGAATATAGGAATGTAGGAAGCTGCTTTATACTGAGTCAGAAAATTGGTCCATCTAGCTCAGAATTGTCTGCACTGAATGGCAACAGCTTCCTGAAACTTCAGGCAAGGGTCCTCCTTAGAGATGCTGAGGACTGAAACTGAGACCTTCTGCATGCAAAGCACAGACTCTATCACCGAGCTATGGCCCTTCCCTTTCTGTTGTATGCAAATTCAGAGCAGCTAATTGGCTTATTTCCCCCTGTGCACCAACTGTCCCTCAACTCATCTTGATGTTCCCCCATTTCTTTTTTCTATATCTACTTTATCTGAACTTTTAAGTTGCATGCAAACTTCACAAAGCCAAACGGCAGCACCTTGTCACTGCACACGCGCACTCGCAGACTGAGATGGGAATCATTAGCATTGTTATTTTAGCAATTCTCACAGTGAGGGAACACAATTTAAATTTTAGGGTGGTTCCTTGAGAAGTGTTGACTGCCATCTATTTTGCCACCACATGCAGAGCTAACCCTTCAGCAGCCAACATTTTTGTGATTTCCAGATACTGCACGTGCAGAATCCTTCTGGAGACTTTCCCCTTCTTTTACAAGAAATGGTAAGACTTTGCATCTTCTCTAAAAGGAATTCGAAGGAAAATGTTAGCAGGTCGGGTAGAGATTTGAATCCCATTTTGAGTCCAGTTGAGCCAGGTTACTCTTCAAGGAGGAAGCTCACATTTCCAAACCCATCCATATATATTTTTTTTAAAAAAATACTTGCTCTATTCCTATCAAATACTTGCTCTCTGGAGGGGGAGAGACTGATTCCAGGCACTCTATTTATCCCATGCTACTAAATTTGATAGTGTTCAATGCAAGAGAAAGAAGAATACACTCAGTTCACAGCACCAGGCAAAGACCTTTCTGTTCATCCAGGGTTTTTAATTGGCGGTCTGGGCCTCTCAGTTTTTTAATTTGTGTATTAACTTTTGATGTCATGGTGAGATTTTATTGTTTGTTTGTTTGTTTTTTTGCTGTCCAGTAATGTTGCTTTTGATTTTATGGTTTTCTGACATATTTTGCATTTAAATTGTTTTAATATGTGTTCACTGTAATCTGCCCTGAGAAGTTTGTATTATGGCATAGCTTACAAATGCCATTAATAAATAATATTAAATAAATTATATGGCCTAGATCTAAATATAAATACAGACAGACACACACCCTTTCTGAGAATTTCTACAGACTTGTGCAGATTCTGCTTGAGAACCTAACTTTTAGAAGGCAAAGATTAATTCTCCAGATTGGAGGGGTGTGTTTTGTTTTTTAAAAGAGACACAATTTTGCAAGCCTGTTGATTCAACAGAGTTGATAAAGATTTGCCATTACTGTGACAAGCTTTCGTCTGGTTAGAACAGACAATGGTGGAGAACTGGGCAATCAATTCCATGACAGTTTGCTGCATTCATTAGTGCATATGCCACTCATTATCAAATCAATATGTCCTAATATGTTGCCAAAAATAGCTGAGAGAACCAATGAAAATGTCTGTGTGATCATTTTCTGAAAGGGGGAAAATCCTGCTTTTCCCATCACAGTGCGCTAGTCTATATTGAGCAGAATAAGGGTATATTTGCTCCCATTTGCTCCCTTGTTGTTGCATCACAGCAAAAGTGACAAGAGCCTCGTAGCAATAAGACAATACATGTGTGGGATGAAACAGGCCACAACTTCCTCAGCCACAAGCCCTCTTCCCATTCTCTCCTCTCCTGAACGCATTCAAGTGAGGGGACTCATGAGGAAGGCAGGAATTAGGTCTTGACCCTGCTGAAAGCATGCATGGCAGCATATAAGGATGTCGGGTAGCATGGGAACTACATTTTGCATACTTTCCAAGGTTCCCGCCTTCAATTCACTAATATCATTTTGAGAAAGGCAAACAGGGGAAGACAAGAGTCACTAGGAACCACGCAGGCTGCATTTCCTACATCTCCCATAATGCCTCAAGGTTAAGTTTAGGAATGGGAGGAAGCGGATGGTAGGAAGACTTCCAGGTCCTGTCTTGATTCTTATTTGGGGAGTGTAAATTTGGGCAAGGTGCAAAATAATGCAAACTATCATAGAAATGATTTGGAATGCTAGTAAAATAGTTAATGAATATCATTCCAAGTTGAGCCAGGGCGTGTTCCCCTATCATTTCATCCGTGTTTTGGAGGAATTCTGCTTTACTTTTTCTGTTTGCTAAAACAAAGATCTTGCTTTGAGAAGACTATGGTGGTTTGGAACAAATATTGGGTTTCACCAGAAAGCTTAAGTGGAGTCTGAAATGTTCTGCGGAGTAGTGTCTCTATGCTAACTTTGCAAGTTGCTTTTATGACTAGAAACTTACAAGCAATTTAACTGTTGCATCCAATGGTCCATTTGTTTCAAAAGGACCAATTATGACACAAACATTTTGATGAGAAAAAAAGAGCTTTTCGGCTAAGTTGTTTGCAACTTAGACATCAATTCAACATTAAAAAAACCAAAACCCTGGTGCAATTGATTAAGATTTGAAACCGCCGGCAAATGGAATTCCCTTAAAGCCCATAAAGTTTTGAAGTCTCCCATTGTATCATGTTGTAGATATACTTGATGCAATCAGCATGTTCTACACAGGTAATTACTTTTACTACTAATGGTACCTCCCACTCAGTGAGGAAGATAAGAGGTTCCAACGCTACTTAATCACAATGCTTCATTATTGCTCCACCACCTACTGGGTAAAACAATTCACTTGCTCTATTCAGTGACTCTCACAAATGAGAAAAATTTATTAACATGTGAGCAAAACAGCACACACTTAATCTGCGAGTGGAGGATGATCTGCCCTGTACCATTGAAAGATGGGGTGTGATGTTAGAAGGATTTATCAGCGATTTTGTTTTCCAAAAGCTTCAGATTTAATTTTTTATTTTTATTTTAAGAAAGACAACGCAAGATTGCCTCCCAAAACAAATGCACAATAAATTATCATAAATAGGAACAGCCACAACCACAATGATTTGTTGCTTTCAGTATTTTCTGTGTGATCCTTCTTAAGCTTCCTTTGGATAGAAAGGAAGATATTCATAACAGATGCAAACTACCTCACCATGCACCATCGTACTTCTCGTGTTTTTCAGGACATGCCACAAGAAGTCACAAGAAACCAGTTTGTCTCCAAGGACCTAATTCACTCTCTTTTTACAATTCAAGGAGACTCATGCAAGTGGGGCAGGCAGTTCAAGCAACTCAAATGTTTTCAGTTCTTGCTACAGGCTGCTGTTCATTTCTTCTTCTTCTTCCTCTTCTTCTTCCTCTTCTAGATTACTATCTTACAGCTAGTGTGTAATTATCACAGAATCAAAGAATCGTAGAGCTGGGAGGAACCCTAAGGGAATAGCCTCTGCCTGGTCAAGCTGATTAATCTTGTTCAGTCAGAAGTGGGGAGACTTTTTTATTCCAAGGGCATTATTCCTTTCTGGGCAACCTTCTGAAGGCCACATAGAATCATAGAATTGTAGAGTTGGAAGGGAACTTAAGAGTCATCTAGTGCAACCCACTGCAATATGAGAGGTGGCTGCGGTCAGAGGCAAAAGTGAGTGGAGAAAAAGATATAAATGTGGCATTTGTACAGTTTTTGTGCTGTCACATGACCCTTTCATAGAAGTATCCATAGAATCAAAGAGTTGGAAGCAGTGTTGTAACATGGGGGCACCATAGGAGCGGTTGCCCCAGGTGCAAAATTGTTAGGGGCACAAAATTTCAACAGCTAGAGCTGCCTCATTATAGTTTTGCACTGCAGTCACTGGGCTTCTCCATGTGAACCAGGAAGTGACCTCTCCAGACAATGCAATGACTCTTCTTTTCTTATCCCTGCAGCTGTGATCTCCTAGGCGACGAGGATGTCGTTAGGCCATTGAATCTGAATACGTACTCCATCCGTTTCCCTCCCTCTCACCCACCCCCACATGGCCCCGGGTGCTGGCATCCCATGCTACACCACTGGTTGGAAAGGGACCCTGAGGATCAGCGGTCCCTTATGGGGATCAAACCTGCAACCATGGTATTATCAGCACCATGCTCTAACCAGCTGAGCTATTAGGTGTATCCTCCATCCAGACTAGAAAGTGAGGACACATTCCAGCCAGGCAAAAATACTTGAGGTGTAAAGCAGGGCCAGTGAGGGTTGTGGTCTGGGAAGAGTTTTGAGGGCCAAACAGAGAAGCTTGGGGGGCTGCAATCAGCCCTCAGCCCTGATGCTCCCCATTCCAACGTGAAGAGATTGCTAAAGAAGAGAAAGCAAAGTTTGAAGGGTGTTTCAAGTGTTCGGTGCTGTGAGATACAGAATCAAAGGACACAAGCCTTCCTCGTATTGGCAGAGTGGCCATAAGCAGAGATATTTGCAGTGGGCTCAGATGCAGTAGGATCCCTCCCTCCCTCCATGCATAGGTATGTATGACAAACAGGAACGGGTCCAGAGGAGGGCAACCAAAATGGTCAAAGGCCTGGAAATGATGCCTTATGAGGAACGGCTAAGGGAGCTGGGCATGTTTAGCCTGGAGAAGAGGAGGTTAAGGGGTGATATGATAGCCATGTTCAAATATATAAAAGGATGTCACATGGAGGAGGGAGAAAGGTGGTTTTCTGCTGCTCCAGAGAAGCGGACACGGAGCAATGGATCCAAACTACAAGAAAGAAGATTCCACCTAAACATTAGGAAGAAATTCCTGACAGTAAGAGCTGTTCGACAGTGGAATTTGCTGCCAAGGAGTGTGGTGGAGTCTCCTTCTTTGGAGGTCTTTAAGCAGAGGCTTGACAACCATATGTCAGGAGTGCTCTGATGGTGTTTCCTGCTTGGCAGGGGGTTGGACTCGATGGCCCTTGTGGTCTCTTCCAACTCTATGATTCTATGATTCTATGTGCATTTTGCAGTAGCATGGTCATTATCAGAAGGGGAGGAGCATCTGAGAGCATTTGCTGAAAGTCCATGGGAGAGAGAGCTCAGGTCCTGCTTACAGATTTCCCACAGGCATCTGGTTGGACACTGTGTGAAATAGGATGCTGGACCAGATGGGCCACTGGCCTGATCCAGCAAGCTGATCTCATGCATGTACCAATTGCTGCATATGACATTGAAAGGGATGCAGCAGACCTCTACTGGACTGCTCATGTTAGAATGGCTCCTGCCCTATGTCTTGACCAAATTTTCCCCTTCAAATATTGCTTGGATGTAGCTTGTGATTCTTCTTCTTTATTTTTTCATTTAGTATTTCAGATTTGTTTTTAGAAGAAGCGACGATCCTGCAGTGGTGGATTTTGAGATGCATATAGAAACTCAAAAACCAGTGGGTATGTAATGACTTCTAAACCGTCAATGCATTAATCACCCAGTCATTCAAGGTATTGTTGCACACAGAGAGAAAGTGCAATTGTTTAAAATCAATTTCTACAGCCCAATAATTCCAATCAATAGACATAAGCATGCTTTACTCTCTACAGGACTGAAGCTTTAACTATATATATATATATATATATATATATATATATATATACACACACACACACACACACACACACACACACGTGAGAGGAAATTGTTTTGTTTTAATGGATCTGAAACTTCCACTGTCCTTTGGGAAAACAGTCCCCATTACTTTAAACACCTCTGTGTCTAGTAATTGTTCACAAATGCGTCAGGCTACCACTAATTTAAGGACTGTCAGAAATATATCTCAAACGCTCGCTTTTTCCAGTCGATGATTTGAAAAAAACACGCCCACATGTCAATTACAGGAAGCACACCGGCAAAGAGTCTTTTGTTCTGAATCTGTGTAAACAGGGGGGGGGGGGAGGCTTCTTTCCTCGGTAACAACTGTTTTCAAAAACCTATATAAATGTTTATGTGAACTATCCAGGAATGGCGTCTCACATAAGCAATAAAAAGCAAGTGCGGGAAAAACAATCTGTGAGGTACTTGTTGGCAATAAATGTATATATTCTGAAGGAGCCATATATCCAGCTGTGAATTATTCCCTCACAGAGGTCTGACCTCAAAACATTTAAATGTTGCACACTAAATCAAAATGATATACTTCTGCTAGCCGAGGATTATTTCCCTCATTTCCATGTGATGCTAAGCATATAGATCAGCAGACGATCATGTATAGGTATGGAAATAAGCAGCCAGGTAAAAGGTACAGTATATGCTACAGAGGGGCAAGAGAAAGTTCATCCCAAGGAATATATATGAGTGGACATAACATTTTCCACCGGTTTTTATTGTTCTCTCTACAAACTGCCTGACAGTAAATGTGTCTATCTGATGCAGAAGACGATATACAAAATTAGTTCCCAGTGGCAATAGATACTTTAAAAAATGGCTATGTTGAAACTACTCTCAACAGCTGAGTTCATCTTTGATGGAAATTGCCATTTTCAACCTTCTCAAACGTTGGCAATCTTCAGAAAGGTGGGATGTGTCGCATGATTGTCATCCCCGATGGTTTCATCACACGGTGGCCTCCATTTCGTGATGATGTCATCATCCTGCACTGAATGCAAAAGGCCATTACAGTGCAGACGACGGCGTGTGAGAGCAATTGGCAGAAGTAATGAAGAGGACATAAACAGCTATTGCAAAAATTTCAGCAAGAGAAAGAGGGAGAGAGCAGGGGCGGGGGGAGGTGCTAGGACAATGGTGCCAAGCAAGTTTCAAAACTTTGGATTTTCAAAAATGTAGGCTTGCATTATTATTCTTAAATGCCCATCCCTCATAGTACATGGCAATAGCATATCTAAATCGATACAAAAACCATAAAACAATATTAACCAGATACGAAAAAACCCAGAAACATTAAAATAGCAAAATTGAAAACAGCCTAGCAACTAGTGCCTCTCAACTAATACTACAGGACTCAGGCAGCTGGTATGTCTTGAGCTGATGGCTAAAGGTACGGTAATTGATGTAGGAAAGAACCAAACCTTTGTAAGGAGGAAATTCCACATTTGAGGTGCCATAACAACAAAGGCCCTTATCCATATCACTGTACCACAAACTATGGTAATTAATGAAACTAAGAGCTGGACCCCTCCTGCACATCTTAAAGCATGCGCTAGCTGTAATAAGGGAGGCAGTTTTTCAAATGCTTGGGTGCTAGGCCATGTAGACCAATGAGGCCCAGTAGCAGACAAGCAACCAGTGCAGACCCTTGAACCCACTTCTCAGCACTGGATAAAAAACTAGTTGCCGCATTCTGCACCAGTTGCAGCTTCCAGACCATTTTAAGGGGAGCCCCATGTAGTGCACTACAACAGTCTTATTGTGAGGTTATGAGAGCATGCAACTGCAGCTAAGCACTCTCTACCCGGGAAGTGAGGCCACGGGCAGCAAATCAGCCAGGGCATAAGTGTTCCTTGCCATTGGAACCACTTCAGTTTCAACAGACAGTGGTGATACCAAGAACATCCCCAGACTATGATCCTACTTATTCAGAGGGAATGCAACTCCACCCAGGTCATCTATCTCTCCCAGTCCTGGGAACGACAGTGCTTCCATCTTATCAGGATTCAACTTCAGTATAAAGTTATGTTTATACTAACTTAATTTAAGCGTACGTTAAAGAAAAGCAAAAACTTGCAAAAGGTGTCACCGAAATAAAGGGCATTTGCCTTAGCAAATTAGAGTTGTGATAACCATCTTGATGCTGAACAGGTAATTCAAACTGCCAAGAGCTGCAATGAGATTGGTAAGATCACAGCCGGAGCTGGAGTCTTGTGTTCTGTTCTGAACTCAACAGATCAATGAGCATGTAGATAGCTCGAATGGGTTCACAGGAGAGCTACAAAGACGGCAAAGAGTCCAGAAGGTAAATCTATGGGGAATGCTTAAAAGAACTATTATAACACTCATCTAGCATAGTGGCCTTCAAAACCAGGATCCACCTTTAATCCCATCCTCCAACATGAACTGGTTTTAATGATTTGCCATATGATTTGCATCTTAGTCCTCAGGCTGGAATGTGACCCAACAGCTGAGGACCAACAACCTACCAAACACAATAGGGAACTTTGAAATGGTTGCAGTGCAAAGACAGCCTGCCTTGTCAGATCACATATCCTCTGGCAACAATGCTTTAACCAGACAATAATTCTTTGGGGAGCCTTTTCCCCTTCCACAATTCCTTTCTTAACCCTCAAATGTGTATCATAAGCGTATCTCATAAACGTGTGCTCGTTTGCGTATGCACAAGCAGATCGGCAAAATGCATCCAATAAAACATACGTTGGCACTACATTTGTACCACATCCAATTTCCTATGCACCTATCTGTCTTCGAAATACGAAGTATGCGCTGTACTTATGTCATTTATTGCTATTTGTTTTCTTTATATGACTTCTTTTCAAAGTGGTGGACTTATGGTATAGCTTTAGGGCATATGAGAGCACAGTTATGAGGAAAAGAAAGCAGCAAAGCTCAACAGAAGGCAGCTCCACATCTTATCCGAATCATAGTTTATAATAATAATAATTGTGTGTGCTTTTTTAATGGCTTATTATTTCCTCTGCACGGAAAAAAGCAATGTGAATAGATGCATCAGGGGACAGGGGTTCTATGGCCTGAACTGTTATGTAGAATAGGGAATTCCAGTTGATGTACAATTTAATAAGGGGTCGACACTTGTTGAAATTACTGCTTCTGCATGACTCTTAAGGTGCAGGAGTCCTGTTCTCATTTGTCTTTACCACCCAGAGAGTTAAAAACTTAAGTACATAAGAAAAGCCACTTTGGAACAGGTCAGTGGCCCATCTAGTCCAGCATCATGTTCTCACTATGGCCAATCAGATGTCTATGATGCACATAAAAGCAGGAGCTGAGCATAACAGCATTCTCCCCTCCTGAGGTTCCCAGCAACTCATATCCAGGAGCTTGCTGCCTCTGACAGTGGAGGCAGAACATGGCCATCATGGTTAGTAGACACTAGTAGCCTTGTCCTCCATGAATTTGTTTAATCCTTTTTCAAAGACATCCAAGCTGGTGGCCATTGCTGCCTCGTGTGGAGCTGAATTCTACACTTTCACCAAGCTCTGTGTGAAGAACTTCCTTTTGCCCATTCTGACCTCCAACCTTTAGCTTTGTCAGATGTCCCTAAGCACTAGTGTTACAAGAAAAATGTTTCTCTGTCTACTTACCTTCTCTTCCTTCAAAACAGGCCTGTGAAATGTGCATCTCCTGAAGCTGAACACAACCTGCCAGCCATTTCTCTATGCCCACCCTCCCTGCTTCACTGTCAGACGCACAGCACCTCTGAGTATCAGTTGCCAGGGAACCTAAGTGGAAGTGGGGTGTTGTGTTTATGTCCACCCATGAAGTAGGGTGATATGGGTGACCTGAGCAGCAGAAGTCCAAGATGCTGTACCTCCTGCAAGTGCCCTTCTTGCCCCCCAGAGAAGCAGCCAGCATTGGTTGGATCAAAACTGAGGAGGGGTGCTGGGCTGACCTCAATTTATTCCTCAGGGGGTGGACCCAAGCAAGGCCCATTGGTTGGTTGGGCCCGCTCCCAGACCTGCCTGGCATAGGCCAATCTGCAGACAAGCCTGCAGTCTTCCCCAGCCAGCTGTCAGATCGCTGACCAGGCCGCAATGCCACCTGACCTTTTAAGGTAAGTGGACTTATGTTCTCATGTGCATGGAAGCATGGCATTTGTCCGGCTTGAGGTACCTGTGCTTTTTGAAATTGTATGTTGCTTTGAGTACAGTGGTACCTCTGGTTGCAAACGGGATCTGTTCCGGAGGCCCATTCGCAACCTGAAAGGAACGCAACCCACGATTTGCCACTTCTGCACATGTGTGTGACATCATTTTGCATGTCTGTGCATGTCCAAGCGGCGAAACCCAGAAGTAACCCTTTCCGGTACTTCCAGGTCACCGCGGGATGCAACCTGAAAACGCTCAACCTGAAGCAAACGTAACATGAGGTATGACTGTACTTTTATTAATTATAAACAAACTACACAAATGTTAAAAACTATCCCATTTGCCCCATGTATACAATGTATTATAACTGTAGAAATTGCCTGCAAATCCTGCATACTATTCATCTTAAATTAATTCCATTGTCTTCAGCCGAACTGCATGCAGGACTCTAGTCTGGTTCAGCTCGACATTTCATATCTCTTGGGGAATTTTCCGGGAATTTTCCCAGCCTAGGGTCATTCCCTGCATTGGTATAGCCTGGGAGATTTAAAAATAAATAAATAAATCAGACCTATAAGATATTTATATTATGTCACACGAAACCTGCACATCAAACTGCACCTCTACCAGTTGTGACAATCCAACATTGTATGGATAGGTATATATCTTAATTCCAAGTTGGCTGGTATACATCTGTTTAAAAAGTGAGAAGATGGGTTTTTTACATCTAAAAAGTGAGGTGCCAATGTACCCCTGCCGCTGCTGCCCACACAAAATAAGCCTAGCCTATTTGGTCTTAATCAAATAAATAATAATAACAATTAAATCACTAAGTATGCTGAGAATTCATTGTGCATGTGGGACTCCAACCTCCTGATTCCACAGCACTCGAGGGGTAAAAACCTTCATAAATCTCTCATGGTTCAAAAGGCATCCATCATTGCCTTTTGCCCCATACAAGGGATGATAAATAACATGCATTCTCAATGCAACCCCATTATGTATTCCAAGCTAGGTGAACTATGAGATAAGACATTTATCCTTCTCGTGAGGATATCTGTTCATATTTTTGCACTGCATGGAGGGAACGTTCAGAGCTGAATGACGACTGATGATGATTAATGTATTATTCTACAGAGCAATATGGTTTCCTTTGCACTGCATTGTTACAAGCAAAATGTGATCAAGTGGCAATAGCAGAATACTAAAAAACTAAAAAAAGTACCCTTACATACAAAAATTAAGTTATTGTCCACAAACACAACTGTACCACAGTTTCTAAATATTGGTTTTGTTAATCTGTTGGCCAATAATTTGGTTGTATGTGTAGATAACTGAGTAACAAGAAGCACAACTTAAAGAGAACTTAAATAGAATGTGGAAAGTGAAATACTCATTTGAATGACATTTTCTCCAAGCAATTAATAATGTTATGGGCGAGCTAGGACCATCTAAGTTTGAGCCAGAAACCTCATTTTGTGTTTTGTTTCATGAGTGCTGAAAAGCTGTTTCTGGTGATTTTTAGGATTTGTTGCAAACACATTCACAATGTTTCAGTGATATTTTTGGCTCTATTCTCCTTCGCCCCCTTCTTTTTTTGGTCTTCATGTCCTCTGCCTAATTTAACCACAGTGCCATTTAGTCCTATTGGATGTGGAAGCCCACATGATTTTGTTGATGATCTCATCCTGCTATGCCGGACATGACTCATAAATGGAATCCCCAAAGCCAACAGGATGAAATGGCAGTGAGCGTGAATGAGGCTGAATACAATGAGGATGAAGATGTGGGTGATGGTGAAGAAGAAGAAGAAGAAGAAGAAGAAGAAGAAGAAGAAGAAGAAGAAGAAGAAGAAACAGAGAGCAGTCAGAGAAAGTGGAATTTGCTGCCAAGGAGTGTGGTGGAGTCTTCTTCTTTGGAGGTCTTTAAGCAGAGGCTTGACAACCATATGTCAGGAGTGCTCTGATGGTGTTTCCTGCTCGGCAGGGGGTTGGACTCGATGGCCCTTGTGGTCTCTTCCAACTCTATGATTCTATGATTCTATGATTCTATGAAAATGAAAACAAATAGCTTTGAAACATTATAAATGCTTGGCATTATCACAGTGTTTTCAGAAAGTTTGTTTAGCTGCATAGAATAGACATTGAGATTCCTAAAATGAATAAGTTTCCCTTAGAGTTCTAAAAAGCTCAGGAAGGAAATGTCCATAGTGGTGTAATTTGAGATAATCAAGCCATGTGAACAAGAGTCTGGTCCTTCCTCAAGGGTGGTTGTGAGAGTGTCCTCCAGATGTGGTGGACTACCATAATCTCTGACCATTGATAGCATGTTGGCTCTCCTGCTCTACCACGTTAACTTCAATACTGCCAAATGCTCATTGTGTACGTGCATCCAACATTGTCTTTGGTGCTGATTAACATTTTTCAACACTGATGTGCTCCATGTGCATACCAGAGCCTTGCTAGTCTTTAGACCATTGCCATTGTCTTTTGTCTTGTGTTAGCTTGTGCCACGGTGTCCCATAATTCTCATTACTGAATTTCATTTTTCCACCCTGAATATCACTTAACCACAAAGGTTAAGGTTTTTTTGTTTTTGTTTTGAGTGGGTAAAAGCAGGAACCCTAAATGCACAGCTGCAGGGGGAATATGGCAAACAAACATGTTAGTTTTAGGGATCATGGTCTAGGATAGCACAATCTTTTCCCCCCTTCATGAATTCACAGAAGTTGTGGGTTCATTATTTGCACATCCCTTTTATTAGGAATAACTGAATCATCCACGGTTGTGCCATTATTTCTCACCCTCGGTGGAAGTTGGCTATAAGGAGGAAAAGCCACAGCAGAAAATCATTCAGAGTTGCAGCAGGTATACTCTTCTGCAGGCAGGTTCTACAGATGTTCTTGGAAGCATTTAATGATTTAATAAATTTACTCCTCAGAGTTTGGGAATTATTGAGTCATGTATTTAAATTTGTTTACTTTTAAAACCTAACCTTCTGCCCCATTGTTCCCTCTGTCTGGAATGGTTGTCTTCATCCGTCCACTTTTCCTTCCATCCCCTCTCATAAACTTAATAAAATCACATTTATGTCCAAAGCTTTGGTCTGGTGTGACTTCCATTCGCTCCATGGGCTCATGCACAGACAAGTCTTCCTGCGCCAATATATTCTCAGAGCTTTGCATCTTCCTCTTTTTGTCCATGAATTTCTCAGCAAGGGACACCTAAGCCCAAACTCTCTCCAGAGGGATGAAAGGTTCTCCCTTCCATTCTCGTTTAAGCTCTAAACTCCGCAGGACTTGGCTCATGTCAATTCAAGTCAGCTTCTTCAGCGAGCCTGTTCAGTGCAGTCTCACTGCTGTCCACGGCACTGCCAAGGTACAGTATATGGAATCAGTTCCAAAACAGGGCTCAGGGGACTTGTGAGAACTCTGTATTTCAAAGACAGAATTCTGGACACTTAACAGACATGGGATGGAGTGAATACTTGAGGAGGGAAAATGAGAACTCCACGGCTTTGACTCTGAAAATATTAATTTCAAAAGGGAAGAATCTCATGCTTGAATGTACTTTCACATAGCATGAAATCCTCCAACATGGAGGAAGTCAGCTGAAGCTGTGGGCCAAGTCAATTGGTCACCCTGGAGGGCTGTGCTCAGCAGATTCATAGAAGGTTCATAAAAACTTATCCTCAACTTCTCAGCCCATATTCCCAGTACACAGCAATTTGCTTTAGGAGCGTGGCCATGAAGCAAGGTGGCAATGAGATCAAAAGGTGCCCGGCAAAGTTTGTCTCTGAAGAACTAGGCGCAAATTCACTAACCTTGACTTGGTTGGGATGTTTATCTATTTAGTGTAAATTCTATTTCCACAGAAGAAAAGGAGGAAGTAGAGTGGCCACTTATTCATCATCCCCCACAAAAGAGGGCACAAAATCTACATATATTTTAAATATTTTGTGCAAATGTAAAAATGGTTTGCAGCCAACCAAGCTGTACTCAGAGTAGACCCAATGAATTAATGGGCTTAAATTAGTCATGCACATTAATTTCAATGTGTCTACTCTGAGTTGGACTAGCATTGGATACAACCCAATTACTGTAATTTAAATAGAAGCGCAAGGTGTGGGAAGACCTTGAGGAGGGGATATGTGTCTGCTGACCAGGTGCAAACTGTGGATGGGGAATCTTCAAAGCCCCTGTTGTTTTCCCTTATTAGGGTTTCTTATCTTTAAATTGAACATGAACTGCTCAGCCTTTCAGACTGAGAAAGTAGGATATACATTCACCTGAGACCAGCTGTAACATGAGGAGGGTAGTTTAGAAGTGGCCCTTCTCACATTTCCATCCAAGTGTAGTTTTCTCTCTCCATCACACTGAAAGACTACTTCCGTTAAGTTCTGGTAAATCTGAACCAGGGAAAATCAGGCTGTGGGAGGCACCAAAGAGATTGTGTGTGTGTGTGTGTGTGTGTGTGTGTGTGTCCCCAATACACTTCCAGCCCCTCAAGCCTCTGGAGCAATTTTGCAATTAACATATAATGAACGAATGAACACATACATGTCCATGTGCCACTTGAAAAAGAAAGAAGGGAAAGATGCGTAGTCTATCTGATGCAATGCAAAGGTAGGCAAGGTCGACAACTGAACCAGCGTTCAATTTGCTGGTGTGTATACCTGTCACTCAGATTGCACAGCCGGGCTCACATGGTGCATGAAGAACCAACTGTCGCTGCTTTTCAAATGCCATGTCTGTCTTCATCCACAATGCACTTGCTTTGTTTTCAACTCTTTCCCTTCCCTTCCCACCACTATTTTGAGTTCCTTGGAATGGAAGAACCAGAGCCGTCTTTCCTATTGGGCTTACTGGCATGTTGCGCCAGGGTGCTGGCCTCTCAGGGCCGCCCCAGCAAGTGGGGGAGCTGCATGACTTTGCCGGTGGCCTCCCCTTTCCCTGCATGCCCACCAGATGCCCCGTCAACCATATGGCTGGCGGGGGTGCAGCTTCCTTCCCAAGCCTCCGTGGGAGGAGAGCGATCCCCGCAGAAGCTTGGGGAAAGGTCAACAACTCTGGGAAAGGGGGGGACACTGGAGGGATCTTTGAACCATGGCACTGGATATGCTTAAGCCCTGGGAAGAACACAGGAAGTCAGGCCATGGGCCGCTTAGTTCAGTACTGTCCACACAGGCTGGCAGCAGCTCTCCAGGGTTTCAGACAGGAGACATTCCTAGCTGTACCTGGAAAATTGAACATTTGAAAATTGAAAATTTTCATGCAAATCAGGTGCTACCTCAATGAGCTATGGTGCTTCCTCTGACTATTCCACCATCTCCTAAATCCTACGGCTTTGATGCTCAGATGAGCCACACTTCTATTGTGTGAAACAGAACTGTAGATCAGTGGCTACAGAGATCCCGTCTCTTCCCAGACCAACATAGTATTTATTGATAGCAAACATAGGAATTGCTTTGCTGGATCAGGTCAAATTTTGTCTAGGCAAGTATTTTCCAGAAGCCAGCTTATGTCAAAAGAGAAGCTTATGATGCTGATTATTTGACAAGTATTCTCAGCTGATCTTACAAATTGGCCCTTAGATTTATTGAGCAGAGGTGAATAGAGCACAGAATAACACTACCAAAAGCCGAAAACTGGCATAAGGCAACATCACACACACACACACACATCTATTAGGTTAGCACCAAACCTTATGATTGCCCCAGTGCAAATGTTTAGGACTGGGGTGTATTGCTTTCTTTCTCCATCCTTTTCTTCCTTAAACAAAGAACTGCCATTCAATTAAATGCACAGTAATTACCATGTGGGAAAGCTTTATACTTTATGTTCAAATGCGCTATCTTGATGAATGATGCCATTAAGATCCAGCATCCCTTGCATCAGCTTCCTTTCCAACAGTGCCCCTAAAAGTCTAACAAATTTACTCAAATGCTAATAAGCAAAACCACACTGTTTATAGGGGTGGAAAGGCAGGGTGAAGGAGTGGAGTCAAGGGTTTAATACATTGTTTTAATTCATTTAAGAGTTACTAGTAACCTCTCTGTCCTTTGGTTTGAACTTCAGCTAAAGGACATTGCAGTATTGCAGCTTATGCACAACAGCTAACACAAGCCTATGCCTATCAATTGCAGTCTTAAAGGAAGGGCCAATAGACCATTAATACAATATTTTCAGCAATATTCCTCACATTTAAGGCTTGTCAAAATAAATAAAAAATTGTCCAGTAGCATCTTAGAGACCAACTAAGTTTGTTCTGGGTATAAGCTTTTGTGTGCATGCACACTTCTTCAGATACCCAGATGCACACGAAAGCTTATACCCAGAACAAACTTAGTTGGTCTCTAAGGTGCTACTGGACGATTTTTTATTTATTTTGACTGTGTCAGACCAACACGGCTACCTACCTGAATTTAAGGCTTGTGTTTGCCAATATCAAAATTTAAAAATGGATTTATTTGTGGTGTGGGAAAGTGGATCAAAGTTTTTCTCCTTCATAATGCTCGGATACAGGGTCATCTAATGAGGCTGAATATTGGAAGATTTCGGACAGACAAAAGGAAATAACTTGTTCACGCAACGCTGTGAAATGCACGCCAATTGGGCGATTGTTATGGCCACCAATTTGAATGGCTTGAAAAGGCTTTTAGGCAAATTCATGGAGGCTATGTTAGTATGCAGACCCAAAACTACTAATTTTGTTTAATGCTGAAGTTCATATTTTGAAGAAGAAGAAAAATGCCCCATTTTTGTCTTTTGGACACTTGTAGCAAAGTTGTGTTATTTTTTTATGCATATCTCATTTTTAAATTCTGCTTATACACAAGGCGACTAACAACATAAAATTGCCATGAAACATTAAAAATGAAAGCAGGGTTTGTTTGTTTGTTTGTTTGTTTGTTTTAAAAAATAACAGCAATTAGAATTGACAATGAGTAATGGCAAGAGTAAGAGCAGCCATTGCATTGCATTAAATTAAATTGAAAGCAGGGAGCATATTCAGACTCCTCAGGGATGGGGCCTAGAAAATGGATAGGGGAAGGGTCATTCACAGACAAGATGGACCAGCTGAAAAGGCCCTGATCCCCCACACCTTTTAAAGTAGGGTTGTAATTCTTTCTTGACTGCATTGTTGTTTGATCTTTCGTAAACCGTATTGAGGTGTTGCTGTTTTTTAAAACAACAATCATATAAATTTTATGAAGATAAAGAAATAAATATGAGGGCAATCTGAGAACGGCCTCTGAAGAGGGTCTTCGTTGTCAGGCAGGTTTGTATAGCCAAGGCTTATTTTGTGACAGGACTCATTGGTACAGAATACTGGCACCTCTTTTTTATGCTATCCATGGCAGTCGTTTTATCCTGGCACCCACATAATATATCACTTTATGAGTACTGGCACCTCATTATTTAAAAAATAAATAAATAAATCACAGTGCGTAGTTATCCTGGTCCAAGCCATTTAGGTTCTTAAAGGTTGAAGCCAACACTTTTCTACTGAGCTCAGAAACAGACTGGCAACTAGTGTTGTTGTTTTTTTCCAAACTGGAAAGGCATATACCTCCTGATTCTTGAGCCAGGTAACAATCTGGCTGCAGCTCTGCAGCAGTTGTAGTTACTAGATAGTCTTCAAAGGGTGGCCCATGAACTGCATGTTGTGGTTGCCTGGTCTAAATGTTATCAGGGCATAGGTAACGGTGGCCTGGGCCAACTTTTTCTAAGGTATGTCAGCAGCTGGACAAACAGCTGGAACCAATTAAGCGGTGTGGCTCACAGAGGATATATGAGCATCTATCCACAAGGCCAGATCCAACAGCATTCTCAAACAGCAAACCTGGTTGTTTACACAGGTGGGGAACTCTATCCTGAACAGGTCAAATCCATGACAGTCCAAGCTTCTGGGTCCCCAAAATGTAGGTCCACTACTGAGTAAACATGATTAGGACTGAACTGTAAATTCATAGTAAGGTCCTAAGAAACCTTCACCTGGTGTGTGTGTGTGGTGTTTTTCTTCAAAAGCTCAGACATTGTTTTCGTTAAGAGTTATGAGAAGCCAGAAGTTTGAAAGACTCATGTCAAACCAAGCCAATGGTTTGGCTGTATTTCTTAAGCCAAATCCAAGCATTTTGGAACTGAATATATATACACATATACACACATGATAAAGCTGTTTAAAGAAATGATATACATAGTGTCACTAGACCACCAGGAATTAATGCCAGAATATTTTCCTTGGCTTCAACCTTCTCTGGCTCATCCTCACTCATAGACACAGAGCTGAACCAGTTTTGAGAATTCTCCAAGTGTCTGGCTTTACTTACATTAGCATGTACATCTCTTGAGGGCAGCCACAACATATCCACCCAAGTCATTCTTTGAAACACAAAGGTAACTAAGGGCCTCAAATATCCCTCTCCTATGACCAAGAAGGATGGTTTCATTATGTGTTCCTTGTTTGACTTCATCATGAGGCATGCACTGTATCCTTAGGGGTGCCGACCTTTTGGTTCTGTAGGGGGGAAAGCTCTCAGTAGTTTTTTGTTTAATGGAATTGGGAGCAGTCCATGTCGTAAGGCAAGTTTGTATAATTATTTTTTCATATCCTGACTTATTTTACAGAGCAGCACGGTGATTCAATGCACTGCTTCTATGTGAGTAGGTCTCCCATTAATAATAAGTGAAAGAATAATATTAGCCAATGGATTTTGAGCATGAGCCAGTCAAAGTTAAGCACTTCTAAGTCCCATTGATTTCCGTGGAAGAGTCAGGCAGTCAAGTTTTGGCTAGATTACAACCTTTCTTTTCACTTCATTATATTACATAATATTCTTATACAGGCACTCAGCTCAGATAATATTAACCCTACCGTGCAAGCTGCATCTTCCCATTGCTGTTAGCATAACAATTGTTTATGGTGATTTGCCTACGTGAGTACAGTAAAAGTAAATGCACAAGGCCCTATCAAAAAGGTGTTCAGATATCCCAGTGGGGAGAGATGCAACAGTACTATTTTCAATGTGTTTTACAAGAAGGGTTAACATGAAATGCAAGTGGGATGCAGCAGCAAAAAATAAAAAAAGTAATACTATTGTAGGCTATAGTGACTGGGTCAATGGAAGTAATAGTACAACTCTAGTCTAAATTTGGTCAGACCACACTTGGAATACTGTGTCTAGTTTTGGGCACGACAATTTAAGAAAGATATTGACAAGTTGGGATGCGTGCAGAGGAGGGCAACCAAGATGATCAAGGGTTTGGAAACCAAGCCTTATGAAGAACAGTTGAGGTGAGTGGGGGTATGTTTAGCCTGGAAAAAAGGAGACTGAAAGGAGATATGATAGCCATCTTCAGGGCTGTCACATGGAAGATGGAGCAAGCTTGTATTCTCCTGGTCTGGAGGGTAGGACTCAAACCAATGGATTCAAGTTACAATAAAGGAGATTATGAATAAACACCAAGAAGAACTTTCTGAGAGTAAGAGTTGTTCAATGGTGGACTCCTTGGAGGTTGGATAGCCATCTGTCATGGATGCTTTAGTTGAGATTCCTGCATTGCAGGAGTTTGGACCAGATGAACATTGGGGTCCTTTTCAACTCTACAATTCTATGGCTCTAAGTATTACTAGAAACCTGTGCTCATCTTATCTCATTCCACCCAAAATAGAAATGTTGAGGCTCTCTTCATGGGGAGATGCACTAGGTGTCACCATATCAAGAGTATTTATGTATTTCCAAAGGATTAATTGTGAACGTTTTGTTTCAGATTAGACTAACAGTGCAGTATTATGCATGGCTCAGTTCTAAAACATTTAGGGTTGTATTTGACTACATCATACTCATCGAAATCTATGTACTTCAGATGGGCATGAGCCAATTAAATCCATCCAATTCAATTCAATGGGTGTACTCTGAGTATAACTTAGGTCATTACAACTCCCATCAGCCCCAGAGCTGAAGTCCAACAAAATCAGAAGCACCTCAACTTAGCCACACCTAATTTAGATAGATGCAACCATTACTTTGAAGTTGGCACCACTGAACTCTGTGGAGTTTACTTCCAAGGTAATACACATAGGACTCATCTGAAAGAAACATGGGAACAGGAAGTGAGAAGCACTTGTGTTTCTTGTTCCACCAACCTCCTCTTCTTCACCATGTCTGGACTCACTCTCAGAATTAGTTTCTGAATCAACACCGTGGTTGACTATATTAATAGGACAATGAAAAATATTTGTTATATACAATAAAACATTTTGAGAACACATCACTCAGTGAAAGACAGAGAAACCCCCAGGTTTGTTAATTATTTTAGATAAAGATAACACAGCTCACCTTGACAATCTTAGATGATGTGGATTGTTCTCAGTATCTCATTAGCCTGTATTGCAAGCACATTAGCAGACAGGCTAGGTAAATTGTTGACCTACTTAACTTCAGCAGACAAAGCCTGCTTCACTTTAGTTTGAATTTTCAAAGAGTCATTTGTGTACGACCTTACAATGTACTATATATTTCAATCAAACGCGAGCATGCAAGGAAGGAGCCAGCTTGAAGCGTCCTCTTGGTATCTACTGGGAATAGACATAACATTGCATGGAAGACAAGACGGTAAGTCCTTGAAACAGACATTTGTAGTGAAAAAATTCTTTTAGAAAAAACACATTCTATGAAAAATTGATTTCTCATATTGGATTTGATATCCCGCTTTATCACTACCCGAAGGAGTCTCAAAGCGGCTAACATTCTCCTTTCCCTTCCTCCCCCACAACAAACACCCTGTGAGGTGAGTGGGGCTGAGAGACTTCAAAGAAGTGTGACTAGCCCAAGGTCACCCAGCAGCTGCATGTGGAGGAGCAGAGACGCGAATCCGGTTCACCAGATTACAAGTCTACTGCTCTTAACCACTACACCACACTGTATGTATGGCCAGCATAATACAACCTTCACTTGCAATGCTGTTTGGGGGCTTAAGTTCTCCATTATCTGCTACTCAGATCTGGAAAGTTCAGGGTATGAGGCTGTTACCTAACTTAATCAACTTGATTTACAAAGCCTTCTTTGAAAAGAAAAGCAGTTGTACAACTTTGGCCTCTGTGATTGGCAGAAAGTACAAAGCCTCTTGATAGGCCAGGAGTAGTAAGAAGCTGGCTTTGTGTCTTTGTCTTGCCCACAGAGCCGTACCTGCTTGTGTGCTTCCTATAGGTGGGGTCTGCTTTCTGCACCAGCTGGAACCACTGGCACTAGGGCTTGCAACCTGGAGAATTCGCCACCCCAAGCTCAGAATCACTATCGCTGCACATGGCTTTGTAGCCAGTGGCACCCACTTCCAAACTTAGCAGAAGTCTAGAAATG